TTGTACTGTAGCATACTATATTGCTTTGTTCATCATACTATCTCAGCTTGCAGTTACGACAAATATCTGCTGGACAAACCGTACTGGATTTAGTGGTAATCGGCTGTGGTCCTGCTGGTCTTGCTCTTGCCGCGGAGTCAGCTAAATTGGGGTTGAACGTGGGGCTCGTTGGGCCTGATCTTCCTTTCACAAACAACTATGGTGTATGGGAGGACGAGTTCAAAGGTTGTAATCTTTATTTTATTTTCATGAAGAGTCTTTTCGTGTCTACATATCCTTTCATGAAACAGGACATCTTATTTTCCGGACTTTAGTCAGACTTCTGCATGTAGGCTTATTACTAAAAGATTTCTTGAAGCACATTGGACTTACATTCTCCTTTTAGCAATACGTCTACTTGAGATTCCTAGTAATTGTTAATTTCTCAGACATACTATGATCCTTTATCTTAATCTAATTTAAAATGATTAGATCCTCGCGTTTAACTTTCATTAAGAGTAAATATTAAGAAGGGTCTTAGAATACAAAGTATGATGGTAATCACTAGAAGTGCGTATGCAAGGGGACATTCGAATATGTGGTTTATTTTAGTAGTTCAAAGAGTCCAAAACCTTATCATATTTCTCTTCAAGAACCAAATGATTAAACGGATCAAGAATGCAAAATAATCTGAACAAAGGTGACCATAAGGAATAACAGAAAGTTACAAAAGTGTCTCAAAAACAAGTCACGGGATATCAATGGTCCAACGATAGGAGACTTGGTGATATCGGGAAATAACTTACCTTGGCTTAGTGAAAATTGATAAAATTAAGATGATGATAGCAGAAGATTCACTTTATTTTAGTTACATGCATGAACACAGGGTCTGTCATTATTTGTTTTGAGGTTTCTGATGCTCGATTAGTCTTTCAAATGATGTTTATATCTTCTTTTTTCAGATCTTGGTCTTCAAGCCTGCATTGAACATGTTTGGCGGGATACCATTGTATATCTTGATGATGATGAACCTATTCTTATTGGCCGTGCCTATGGAAGAGTTAGTCGCCATTTTCTGCACGAGGAGTTACTCAAAAGGTAAAATTTACTTAACTTGTTCCTTAGGTCATACGAATCGTTAATTTATTCTTTACAATATGTTTCATCATTTTAGTTTCCTTAAAGGTGTAATTCACATTAATCTTCCTAGGTGTGTGGAGGCAGGTGTTTTGTATCTAAACTCGAAAGTGGATAGGATTGTTGAGGCCACAAATGGCCAGAGTCTTGTAGAGTGCGAGGGTGATGTTGTGATTCCCTGCAGGTATAGCTTTTGTTTTGTCACTTTTTAGACTTGAAATTTGACTTCTTCTCATTTTGAAACTTCTAACTTACGATAACAGGTTTGTGACTGTTGCATCGGGGGCAGCCTCGGGGAAATTCTTGCAGTATGAGTTGGGAGGTCCTAGAGTTTCTGTTCAAACAGCTTATGGAGTGGAAGTTGAGGTAGAGAAAAATCATCTAACATAGACATAAGAGTAATTCTGAAAGTTTTTGCATGTTGTGCACCTGAAAGACTTTAAACTTGATAAGTTTATGTGAGCAAATTGTCTCATTTTTCCTTTTCTTGGTCTATCGTTACTTTATTTAATAGGTTGGTGCTCGTCTAGGGTATATGCATTCAATTTGGCTATTGTGTTTCTATTGTTAACTTAGAATCGGACTTCCTATTCATCTGATAAAAAGCCAACTGCCATATTGTGACATATAAGCTCCGTTGGTTTTGTAATCGTATGGTTGTTTGTTGTTTTCCGAATTTCAGGTTGATAACAATCCATTTGACCCGAGCCTGATGGTTTTCATGGATTATAGAGATTATGTCAGACACGACGCTCAATCTTTAGAAGCTAAATATCCAACATTTCTTTATGCCATGCCCATGTCTCCAACACGAGTCTTTTTCGAGGCTAGTTTCTGATATTATGCCAACTAGTTTTTGTTATTATGCTCCACACATTACTACAATTGGCTATGTGGGACTTATATCTGTATCTGTCTGCAGGAAACTTGTTTGGCTTCAAAAGATGCAATGCCATTCGATCTGTTAAAGAAAAAACTGATGCTACGATTGAACACCCTTGGTGTAAGAATTAAAGAAATTTACGAGGAGGTAATCCAATCCACCTTTCGTTATGTGCAATTTTTGTTTTTAGTCTAGAGAACGACAACCATGACGTTAGTGAAATTTTTATGCAGGAATGGTCTTACATACCGGTTGGTGGATCTTTGCCAAATACAGAACAAAAAACACTTGCATTTGGTGCTGCTGCTAGCATGGTTCATCCAGCCACAGGTAATACGAGAAGAAAATACATTACTCTTAATGTAAAAAAAGCGCAGCCCGGTACATTAAGCTCTTGCTATGTGCGGGGTCTGGGGAAGGATTGGACCACAGGGGTCTACTGTACGCAACCTTACCCTGCATTTTTGCAAGAGGCTAATTTCACAGCTTGAACCCATGACCCTAATATGGTGTTCTTTATATGCTGATTTCTGAAACTTGTACTGCATAAACAGGTTATTCAGTCGTCAGATCACTTTCTGAAGCTCCAAAATGCGCCTCTGTACTTGCAAATATATTACGACAACATTATAGCAAGAACATGCTTACCAGTTCAAGTATCCCGAGTATATCAACTCAAGGTACATGAGATACATTTCTGCTGTTCTGGATTTCATTGATGTCATTTCAACCTATGTTGCTCAGACTCTTCAAAAATGCCACTGGACGCGTGTTGGATCCTCCAAAAGTAGTGCATTTTTGGTGAATCCAACACATTTGACGACATTTGTGGAGAATCCAAGCAACATAGATTCTGACCCTTCTGAACTAAGCAAGTGTTCATCTTTTATCAGCTTGGAACACTCTTTGGCCACAAGAACGAAAACGACAAAGATCGTTTTTCCTATTTGGACTGGCTCTGATATTGCAGCTGGATATTGAGGGGATAAGGTCATTTTTCCGCGCATTCTTCCGTGTGCCAAAATGGTATGGCTTGATCTTTCTCCTTCATCTCATTATTTTTGTTAACGAGTTTAAATTCTATACACTAATAACTTCTACACAAATTAGATCAGATGAAAGATAACTACATGTAACCGTTCATAAAGTGGAATCAGTAACATTGAAACTGAGGCAGGCAACATCTTACAACATGTTGAAGTACTTTGATAGTGTAAAAGTTCGTTAGACAGACAGTATATATAAGTTAAATCCTTTTTGAATACATAAGACACTTTTGTTTTGAATAGTGACAATATTGTACTTTCAGTTCTAATGAGAAATCACGTCACTTGAAAGATAATTACATGTAACCATTCATAATAAGTTGGATCGGTAACATAGAAAATAAGGAAGGTAACCTCCTATAACATGTTACAATACTGTCAGTGTATATAAGCTAAATCCTTTTTGAATACACAAGACACTTTCGTTTTGAACAATGAGAATTTCAGTACTAACATGTAATCGTTCATAATAAGTTAAGATTAGTAACATAGAAAATAAGGAAGGTAATTCACATCCTACAACATGTAAAAGTACGTTGATAGCGTATACTGTCAGTGTATATAAGTTACATCTTTCAGTAACGAGAAAGTGTTTTTCGTTCAGGATGTGGCAGGGATTTCTTGGTTCAAGTCTTTCTTCAGCAGACCTCATGTTATTTGCCTTCTACATGTTTATTATTGCACCAAATGACATGAGAAAAGGCTTGATCAGACATCTTTTATCTGATCCTACTGGTGCAACATTGATAAGAACTTATCTTACATTTTAGAGTAAACTCCTCCTACAATAATTGTTGAATCAGAGGCCTCATTACTTCAGATTCATAACAGAAATCGCGGTCTCTCGAGGCATTGTATATAACATTTTCACTAGCTTAATATGCTTGAATAAGTTGCATAGTTTCAGTTTTTGTATCTGCTTCTTTTTTTGTCCTAGATCATGTATTGATCCAATCTATATACATTGCCAATATATATAAATTTTACAATATTGCTAGTTTTTTTTTTTTTTTTAATTTGTCATGAATTACCTACTTTAATTTTTTGTTTTCACTAATTATGAATTGTTTATATCTGTAATTTTCTTTTAGATAATTTGCTAGTGTATATAGAAGTTTATTAGTAGTGCATGACTCTGAGCTGTTCAAGTTTGAAACATTCTTTTGTTTATTTTAGAAAAAAGTAGTTTATTTAAACAATTTAAAAGAAGCATTTATCATGTCTTCTCACAAATTATATTAATTTAGCAATGTTATTTTGTATATATACAATATATATGATAATCTTTTCCTTCATTTTCCTTTGAGGATTATTCATTTCCTAAACCATGAGATTGGTTTCAAAGTTAATGATGAGAAATATAAAGGGAAAGACGATATTTCACTTTTATATGCTTAATTTGTGAGTTCATATTTTATATTTGGACAGTTGAAAATTAAAAAATTATTTTTAAGATCAACTCTAATTAAACTAGTAGAAAATAAAAATAAAAATCAATTTTTATTATTATTTTTACAAAATTTTCACGATCAATATAATTACTCTGTAGCTTGTTCTCACTCAGTATATATACATGAAGTGTCTAATACAATAACAACAACATATTCAGTGAGATTTCATAATAAGGATCTGGTATGAACAAGAGTATACGTGGACCTTACTCTTACCTCAAAAAGATAGAGAAACTGTTTTCAAAAGACCTTTAACTCGATTAGTAGCCAGGAGTTTTTTTTTTCTTTTTTTAGTTGATGTACTAAAAATATCCTTTTTTTAATTGGTTGACAATGAAATGATTTTATAAAAATAATTAAAAGATAGAGGAAAAATTCCAAATAATCCAAATAGTCCAAGTGGGCCCAGAATCATCTAACCGACCATTGCACGTCTTTTGGGCCGACCCGGTCTTCTATGGCCCAAATTTCAAACTTTTAAATAACTGAAAATTGACCCCTAAAGTCTTCAAAAATTATTTTTCTTCTCACTCTTCTCTGTTTCGGAAAAAAAATGAAAGTGAAGGTTGACGGAGATGCTGGTGCTTCTCCGGCGCCGGCGCCGGTGAATGTTACGGTGGCGGTAGCTGTTAAGAGTGTTGAAGGGAACGGGAGTCAACGTGCGGTGAAGTGGGCTGTAGAGAAACTGTTGCCTAAAGCGAATCGATTTGTTTTAGTTCATGTTATGCCTACAATCACTACGATTCCAACTCCATGTAAAATCTCTTGCATAATGCTTTTATTTTGAAAATTATATGTTAAGTGTTATAGTGTATTCTGAGAAACATGTACATGCATTTCACTTTGATAAAATGTTTTAAAATATTCATGAAGAGAAATTTTTAAAAAGCTTTTTTTCCTAAGTTTTGAGTGAAAAATCAGCTCCAAAATTGTACAATGATGGGTCAAAATCATGTTATTCATTGAGAAATGAAGAGGAAAATGCTTAATTTTGATTTCTTGTTATCCTGGAATTCGTTAACGAACACATACTAATGCTAGTAGAAGTAGTGACTGCATGTGGCCAAGTGGTCAATGAAGTAGGTTCAGATATATTCCTAGGTGATTTCAGAGAAAGTTATCTAATACCTGTTGCCGGTGTGGTAGGGGATGGTAGTCGAGGTGCGCATAAGCTCACCCATACATCATGGTTATCGAAAAAAGTTTGGAGTGAAAAATTAACACAATTTTTAACAACAGAGGTTCTTGAAAAAAGCAACCCTAAAAAAAGAAAGTCTAAACGGGTAAATAGAACTCCTAATTTCCTTAAAATCAAACCAAATTATTTATCACCATCGCTCTGAAAAGAGCGGAATGGATATAAGATTCATATTGCAGATCCAACTAATTGTGGATTGAGGTTATGGGAAGGAAATTAGAAAAAATATTGTGCCTCTTAATTGTTCATGGAGAAATATATTACCTTTGAATTGCTTTGCTTTTTCATGAAAGTGAGCTGGTTGATTGGATTTGTGTGAGGTAGTTGAGGCTGAACTCCTCTTTCCCAATACTAGTTTTTAGTTTGAATGTTAGTTCCTATTTTTTTTTGTTTCGTCTGTTCGTTAATGATGTCTATGTCTGATCAATATTGTAGCAGGAGAGTATATTCCTATTGATGGGCTTGAGGCTAATGTGGTGAAACTATATACGGGTGATAAGAGGGCTAAATGTGAAGAAATCTTTATCCCATTTAAGATTTTATGCAAAAGGAAAAATGTAAGATCTTCCTCAAATAAAAAATTTCTCCTTCTTTGTGTTTTGGTTTGTTGAAGTAAGTTAAAGTTTCAAGTGTATTTATGTCTGAACTTCCTGTAGGTTGAGACTTTGGTGCTGGAAGGGAATAATCCTGCAACAGTGCTCCTCAAATATGTAAATGATTCTGGGATTAAAAGTTTAGTCTTGGGCTCTTTCTCCCCCAGTTACTTTGCCAGGTATGTGGGTCAAGATGACTCGGATTTTGGTTTGTCAGTATTATCTCATTATATTTGTTGATTTAGAAGGGGAGCCTTGGCGTAATCGGTGAAGTTGCTGCCATCTGACCAGGAGGTCAGGGGTTCAATCTGTGGTAACAGCCTCTTGCAAAAGTGCAGGGTAAGGTTGGGTGCAATAGACCCTTGTGGTCCGGCCCTCCCTGGACCCCGCACATAGCTGGAGCTTTAGTGCACTGGGTTGAAAGAAAGTTGTATATTTGTTCTTAATGTCCATTTAGGAATCATGTTTTCTTTTGAGGATACCAGGTTCTATAATCTCTGGCTGCAACTTGAACTTTTTTGATGAAATTTTTGTTAGAAAAAAGTAATTTTTCCATGATTTGGTGGGGGTTTTCTGATTTCCAGTCGCTAGTTGTGCTAAACCTTAGATCAACTTTTACTAGGAAGCTGAAGGGATCAAGCGTGCCATCAATTATCCTCAAGCATGCTCCAGATTGTTGTGATGTTTATGTGGTGTCCTCAAATAAGCTTATGACAAATTCGTTAAATCCCTTGTTGGCTGCTGGTAAATTGAAAATCTTTTGGTATCACAATAGTTTATCTTACTTTCTGAAGTTCTCTTTCTTCTGCCGATCAGGAATAGCAGTTTCTGACTTCTAATAAGTGTTTGTATACTGTTATACAGAGCGTGACCTTCGTACAATCAATAAACAACAATCCAGTGCATCTTCCGTCTCCGCAGGAAGTGTTTACCATAACAGATCATCGTCTGTTGCAACTAGACATCTAAATTCTCTAGAATTTATCCATGGGAACTCTTCTAGTTATGTCAGTCCTCAACACAGAAGTAACCGAAATCTGGAAGATGTGACCACAGGTCTGGAGGCAGTCAAGGGATGTCATTCTTCCACTTACTCAGAGCAGGTAACCTGATAACTATTCTCTTATGTATTTCTTCAAGTTCTTCGTAAAACTTCTATTTGCTTATATTTAAAAAATGTCATTTGAAAGTATAATATGTTAGTAAAATTAAATCTATATATATGTTGATGTTGATGTGGTACTTTTTCTGTTTATCCGCAGTTAGACATTCAGGATGAAGTGGAGAGGTTGCGCCTAGAATTACAGGATACTTTAGCAATATACAATCAAGCATGTGAGGACCTGACCCATGCCCGGAACAAGGTAAAGCTCTTGTGACTTTACCTCAAATCATATGGTAATCATGAAGTTCCCGTCTTACATACTGGAAACAACAAATATATGCTACTGATTAGAATCAGGATCTCAATAATCTATCTTAGTTCCATGTCAGTGTTAATAGCTTTACAATGTTGGTGAGATATGGTAGCTCCAGTAGGCAAGACACTGATGCCCCCCATCATGAGTCTGTCCACTTCTACAAGCAAGATCTGACATTACCTTGCACACTGTCTTTCAGGTCCAGTTATTTTCTTCGCAATACCTTGAAGAGTCTGGAAAAGTGAATGCTGCCAAGAAAAGAGAAGAAAATCTAAGGAAAATTGCTGCTGAAGAGAAGGGGAAGCACATGGAAGCTGAGAAGGAGGTTGAGATAGCAAGAAAATTGCTTTCCAAAGAGGTCTATGAGAGGCAGATAGCAGAGTTGAAGGCTCTTCAGCAGTCCTTGGAGAAAAAGAGAATAGTTGATGCACTATTATCATCTGATGGCAGATATAGAAGGTTTACTAGACGAGAGATTGAGGTTGCAACTGACTACTTTTCCGAGTCTAAGATGATTGGTGAAGGAGCATACGGGAAAGTTTACAAAGGCGATCTTGATCACACCCCTGTTGCCATCAAAGTTCTTCATTCTGATGCATCAGAAAAGAAAGAGGAATTTCTAAAAGAGGTGTTTCTTCAAGATTTGATGTTTTCTCTTTCATTTCAAGATATGCAATTTTAGACATGCCTCCTTTTACAGAAAAGTTACGCATAGTCCATCTTCTTGATGCTGTTATTAATACCACTTATCTTATCAAAAAAAAAAAAAGAAATGTTACGCATAGTGTAGTGGAAAGACCCCTCGACCTTCTCAAGCAAGAGTTTTGAGGTTCGAGTCACCAGGGAGCAAAGTGACAAAAGGGCCACTATTGACTCTTTGGTAGGGGGATGGAGTTCACCATATCAATTAATAAGAGAAGAACCATCCCCTATTGTATTCCTAGGTGCTGTAGTTTATAGTTTCAAACACTTATGCAGTAGTTTATAATTTCAAACAGTTTTGCAGTATCATTGTTAACACATAACAAGACTTCCAACTTCACACCTTACATGCCTTGTCCTTTTTTCCTCAAAAGCGCTCCTCATACATCATGCATTAGCTCTTATGCACAATTATTTGTGTCAGGAATTCATGGATCGTTTACCAGATATAGTTTGTCCCAGATCTAATTGTAGTCTTTTATAGCAGATATCCTCAATTTCTGTTGATATAGTAGTAATCATTTGTAGGTGGAGGTTCTTAGCCAGTTACATCACCCACACATTGTTTTACTGCTTGGAGCCTGTCCTGAAAATGGTTGCCTTGCTTATGAGTATATGGAGAATGGAAACCTGGAAGATTACATATTGGAACGGAACAGCAAACCATTACCTTGGTTTTCTCGATTCAGGATACTTTTTGAAGTGGCATGTGCTCTTGCATTCCTACACAACTCAAAGCCTGAGCCTGTTATTCATCGAGATCTGAAACCAGGAAATATATTGTTGGACAAAAATTTTGTGAGCAAAATAGGAGATGTAGGTCTAGCAAAGATTATATCAGATGTTGTACCAGAAAATGTTACAGAATACAGGAACTCTGTTCTTGCTGGCACCCTTGGTTACATGGATCCAGAGTATCAAAGAACTGGCACACTCAGACCAAAATCTGATCTGTATGCTTTTGGAATAATAATACTTCAATTACTAACTGCTCGTCGTCCTAATGGCCTTATAATGAAATTTGAGAATGCTATAAATTGTAATTCATTAGTGGATATACTTGATAAGTCAGTTCCTGATTGGCCGTTGATTGAAGTAGAGGAGCTAGGTAGGATGGCGCTAAAATGCTGCATGCTTAGATGCCGAGAGAGACCTGACCTCGATACTGAAGTTCTTCCACTTCTGAAAAGACTTGCTGGATATGCTGACATGCATAGCAATGAAGAGAAGAACCTTATACACGCACCTATTCAGTACTTATGCCCGATCCTTCAGGTGAGAACTGGAAATTCCAGAGGATGACCTAGTCATTACTAGTGTTATTTTTGTGCATGCATCTCATTCTGCTTTCTGCTCTTGTTATCATGCAACATCATTACAGGAAGTAATGGAAGATCCACAGATAGCAGCTGATGGCTATACGTATGAGCATAGAGCAATAAAGTTATGGTTTGACAGATACAGTGTATCACCCATGACAAAACAGAGACTACAGCACAAGCTAGTCACGCCAAACCACACATTGCGACTTGCTATACAAGAGTGGAGATCAACATTCAACAACATTCAGATAGAGAAAAACTAGTGATTGCTGTGGATAGTTCAAGGTAGAGTCTCTCATTTACTTATTTCTAATTCATTCACTTGTGGACTGGTTTGAATGCTGCATAACATCATCTTCAACCATACCTCCACTGTACTTCCGGTGCAAAGGGTCAAAACGTTCATGATGATATCAAGCCAAAACAATAACTAGAGAAACCAAGAAAAGAAGGAAAAGTAATAGGACTGTTGTATACACAAGTGACTTCAGAACAAAGTCGTCAAGTATTATGTTTGCATATATACATTATTACCGAGTGTGCATTAGCAACTGTAAATCTTTTGAAGTATTGTAAAGCTCCTGATTGTAGGAAACCAGTAGAAAATATGTGCAAAATTTAACATAATTCTGAGAGTGAGACCATACATTCTGATTCATGATTCTTCTGGTAGGAGTTTGAAGTATTGCCTAGAGATGATTTGATATGACATGACACAATTTCAGTTTACTGTGGACATGACCTTAGATAGGAGGAAATAGATTATGATAGAAGGTTAGTAGATAGTAGAGAATTGACTCGTTTCTCGTTACTAGTTAGTTGGAGTTTATGTCTTTCGATTTCTGTTACTATTTGTTGTTTATTGCACTTCGATGATTCTAGTATTTCGTTGTAGTTTGTGCTCCTTTTTTTTAGATTGCTTTGTCATGCTCTTTATAATATTTTGCCATGACTTCTTTCACTTCTTTCATTTCTTCTTCCGAACAGCTTTGAATTGTTTTTCCTTAAGCCAAAGGTCTATCGAAAACATTCACTCGTAAGGCAGATTACCATCAAATATATAGCGGTAATTCAAATGCCAATGTTCAATAAACTCAAAAGACCAGTCAAATCGCACTTAAAACTTATTGCTTAATGCAGTAAGTAGTACGTAGAAGAGAGTATTTTAGATGTTTCGTAGTTAAAAATATGAGGAAATGAACGTGTATTTATATAGCCAATAAAACTTAGCGTGAACATGTGTTATTGTGCTTTATCAGAAAAGTCACGATCTATCCGAAGTGAAAAGGGGTTAAAATTACACTCTCTCAATATGAGGAAATGGACAAGTATTTGTAGTGTGAATGTTGTGATTATGTCTTATCAGAAAAGTCATAACTTATTCACGGTGAAAATGTGTTATTCAAATTACATCCTTTATTAGAAAAGTCAAAACTTATTCACGGTGAAAAGGTTTTATTCAAATTACATCCTTTCTCCGGCTGTCTTTTCAGGAAAATATCTATTCATTTCCTATTCACACCTCTTACAAATCTAACACAAATAGTTTGGAAAAATGTACAAATATTATTTACTATACATTAAGGGGTCGTTTGGTGTGAAGGATAATATTAAATAGTCATGGGTAAATTATAGTACCACATTATTTGTTGTTTGGTAGTTATCCTGGGATTAATAATTAGTACCGGGATCATCGATGTGTACTCCTAGGCTGTGAAAGAGAGGGCGGACCAGAAGTTATCCCTCCCATTGGATGGTATAGTAATATCGGGATAAAATAAGTAAAATGACAAAAATATAACTTTCAGCCCTTTTGTTACATCACTTTTTACACTTACGAGGGCATTTTTGTAAACAAATAAATTGTTCGTAAAAGTAATTATTTTGAATACAACAAGACACTCAATAAAAAATATTCTCATCATAACTAATCTCATCATGATTAATCCCGTCATAACTTGAATTCAAAATAAATGACCCATAGAAAAATATAATATTATCTTTTTACCTTTTACTAATAAATTAAAAAAATAAATCAAAAACTCACTTGTTCCTCAAGAAAATAGTTTCCTTCGTATTAAACATTATTTTAACTTTGATTTCAATTTTCCTTTTTTAATTTTAATCAAAATATTTATCCAAATACATAAAATATAGAGTATTTTTTAAATTAAATTTTCTATTTATTTTACAAAAAATTTCATAGTGTTAATAATTTTCCATATGTATTATCAAGTTTGCTTAACTTAATCCATTTTCCTATTTTCGAAACGTGGTCTTCTATCGCTTTTTATTCTTCCCAACCGCGTATTAAGCTTTTAATATTAAAGCCTTCACTTAAAATTAGCATTTTAGTCCCTCAAAGATATGTGTATAATATGATTTTGGTCTTCATACTCTTTAATTAATTATATATTAATTTTTTTTAATTAATTAATTAATATGCACACTTGTGATAACAATAAACTCATTGTATTCCTATTGGTGGAGGTATATGAAAGAGTAAAGCGTATACTGGCCTTATTTTTTACCGTAAAAAGCTTTAAAAATTGTTTCTGATAGAATCTCAAGTTAGATACCGTGAAACCTCATAAATTTAACGATTTATTAAGTGTTAAATAAATGTAATTTTTTTAAAAAATAATCTTAATATCATATATTTACTTTATGAGTGTATCCAAAGTGTACATCTTAGTTAATTGAAAATTAGGTGGTTGTTTAAACATAAAATGTAATATTTGTAAAATGATATTTGATTAGTTGAAGTGTATTTAGACATATATTTAGCTAATTTTTATTTTTTTTTAAAAATATTTGTGAGTGAAAGAACCTGAAAAATTAATCATAATAATCCAATTTTCAAACTTGAAACTCATTAAAAACGATAAATCGACAATGCTCAACTACCTACTAACCTTTCATCTTAATTTGAAAACGACTTCTCTTCTTAGTAGTAGTATCCAATTATCACGTGTTACTACATGCTGCTAGTCTCATGTTATTTTATTGTCTCTTTTCTTATAATCTTTTTTTTCACGTGTACTTCGCTTTTAAACTGAATGTTTATCGAAAATTAATCCGTATACATTCTACCCTTTCTATCCTTCCTAATTATGTCAAGTAAATTATAATATTTTAAAACCATAAGATAAAACTCATAGTATACTAAAAATCTCAAAAACTCATTTAACCCACCGTCCACCCCCCACCACCCCACCCCCACCCCTTTCCCCTTTTCTTCTTTTTTTTTCTTTCCTCCTTTTTTTTCTTTCTTTTTTTTTCTCTTTTCTTCCTTTCTTTTTTTTTTTTCTTTTCTTTTTTTTTTCTCTCCCTTCTCTCCTCCTTCTCTTCCTTCTTCTCTCTCCCCCTTCTCCTCCCTCCTCTCTCCCCCCCCCTCTTTTTTTCTCTCTCCTTCTTCTCCTTCCTTCCCCCTTCTTCCCNTTCTTTCTTTTTTTTCCCCTTTTTCTCTTCCCTCCCTCCTTTCCNTTTTTTTCTCCTCTTCCTTCTTTCTCCCTTCCCTTTTCCCCCTTTCCTTCCTTCCCTCTTCTCTTTCTCTTTTCTTTTNCTCTTTCCTTCTTCTTCTTCTCTCTCTTTTTTTTTCTTCCCTTCTCTCTCTTCTCTTTTCCTTTCTCTTCCCCTTCCTTTTTTCTCTTCTTCCCCTTTTCCTTTTTTCCTCCTCTCTTCTTTTCTCTTCTTTCTCTCCCCTCCCCCTCTTCCTCTTCTTCTTTTCCTCTTCCTTTCTTCTTTTTTCTNCTTTCTCTTCCTTTTTTTTTTCTTTTTTTTTCTCTTCTCTTTCTTTCTTCTCCTTTTCTTCTCTCCTCTCCTTCTTCTCTTTTCCTTCTCCTTTCCTCTTCTCTTTTTTCTTCTCCTCTTTCTTCTCTCTCTTCTCTCTCCTTTCTCTCCTCTTTCTTTCCCCTCTCTTTTCTCTTTCCCTTTCTCTCNCCCTCTCTCCCCCCTCTTCTTTCTCCCCCTCTCCCTCCCCCCCTCCCTTCCTTCCTCCTCTCCCTCCTTCCCCCCTCCCCTTCCTTCCTCCTTCTTCCTTCTCTCTTCCTCTTCCCCTTCCTT